GAACTCGTGGGGCTGCCTTGTCAACCACCCTCAACCAGATTATGCTTTTTATGAGACGTTCATATCATAACATTAAAGAGGATCTACTGCTGCATTAGACAGTGACACCTCATAATTTTAACACAGATTATACAAAGATTGTTTAGTTAACGCTCAACAACTACAACTCCTTTGATATTGGCTTTGATAGCATGTAGTATTTTAGCAAACCCATAGCCTGCTTCATTCAGCTCTTTCATTTTGTGTGTGTTGTGTCTATTTTTACTCATCATCATCTTTTCACTTTTTATCAGTCGGCTCTGATTAGCTATGCTTATGGCACACACACACAAACACACACAAACACACCCCCAACTGCTCTGTCCTCTGCCAGGCCTCAACCTCTTCGCCCCAAGAGGTCCCTTTAATTGCCACTGATGAGAGCACAGTTAGTGTGTGTGCATATACGTGTGTGTATGTGTGTGTGTGTGTGTGTGTCTGTGTCGGCGAGAGAGTGAGTGAGCGTGAAGAGCCGCTGCCATGGCAACAACATCACCACTGATGATACAAGCTGTAGCCCAGAATGTCTTTTATTTTCTCGCAACAGCTTGTTGTCGACTGAGAGCAGAACATCATGTTACAGTGCATCACTCTGCTCTCTGACATGTAACTGCGCATTATATTATGACATGTAACTGCGCATTATATGATGACATGCAACTGCATTATATTATGACATGCAACTGCATTATATGATGACATGTAACTGCGCATTATATTATGACATGTAACTGCATTATATTATGACATGCAACTGCGCATTATATTATGACATGTAACTGCATTATATTATGACATGCAACTGCGCATTATATTATGACATGCAACTGCATTATATTATGACATGTAACTGCGCATTATATTATGACATGCAACTGCATTATATTATGACATGTAACTGCGCATTATATTATGACATGTAACTGCATTATATTATGACATGCAACTGCGCATTATATTATGACATGCAACTGCATTATATTATGACATGTAACTGCGCATTATATTATGACATGTAACTGCATTATATTATGACATGCAACTGCGCATTATATTATGACATGTAACTGCATTATATTATGACATGCAACTGCGCATTATATTATGACATGCAACTGCATTATATTATGACATGTAACTGCGCATTATATTATGACATGCAACTGCATTATATTATGACATGCAACTGCGCATTATATTATGACATGTAACTGCGCATTATATTATGACATGTAACTGCGCATTATATTATGACATGCAACTGCATTATATTATGACATGCAACTGCGCATAATATTATGACATGTAACTGCGCATTATATTATGACATGTAACTGCATTATATTATGACATGCAACTGCGCATTATATTATGACATGCAACTGCATTATATTATGACATGTAACTGCGCATTATATTATGACATGCAACTGCATTATATTATGACATGCAACTGCGCATTATATTATGACATGTAACTGCGCATTATATTATGACATGTAACTGCGCATTATATTATGACATGTAACTGCGCATTATATTATGACATGCAACTGCATTATATTATGACATGCAACTGCGCATAATATTATGACATGTAACTGCGCATTATATTATGACATGCAACTGCATTATATTATGACATGCAACTGCGCATTATATTATGACATGCAACTGCGCATTATATTATGACATGCAACTGCATTATATTATGACATGTAACTGCGCATTATATGATGACATGCAACTGCATTATATTATGACATGTAACTGCGCATTATATTATGACATGCAACTGCATTATATTATGACATGTAACTGCGCATTATATTATGACATGCAACTGCGCATTATATTATGACATGCAACTGCGCATTATATTATGACATGCAACTGCATTATATTATGACATGCAACTGCGCATTATATTATGACATGCAACTGCGCATTATATTATGACATGTAACTGCATTATATGATGACATGCAACTGCATTATATGATGACATGCAACTGCGCATTATATTATGACATGTAACTGCATTATATGATGACATGCAACTGCGCATTATATTATGACATGCAACTGCATTATATTATGACATGTAACTGCATTATATTATGACATGCAACTGCGCATTATATTATGATATGTAACTGCGCATTATATTATGACATGTAACTGCGCATTATATTATGATATGTAACTGCGCATTATATTATGACATGTAACTGCATTATATTATGACATGTAACTGCATTATATGATGACATGTAACTGCATTATATTATGACATGTAACTGCATTATATGATGACATGTAACTGCATTATATTATGACATGTAACTGCATTATATGATGACATGTAACTGCATTATATTATGACATGTAACTGCATTATATTATGACATGCAACTGCATTATATGATGACATGTAACTGCATTATATGATGACATGTAACTGCGCATTATATTATGACATGTAACTGCGCATTATATTATGACATGCAACTGCATTATATTATGACATGTAACTGCGCATTATATTATGACATGCAACTGCGCATTATATTATGACATGCAACTGCATTATATTATGACATGTAACAGCATTATATTATGACGTGCAACTGCGCATTATATTATGACATGTAACTGCGCATTATATTATGACATGTAACTGCATTATATGATGACATGCAACTGCATTATTTTATTATATGTAACTGCATTATATGATGACATGTAACTGCGCATTATATTATGACATGTAACTGCATTATATTATGACATGCAACTGCATTATTTTATTATATGTAACTGCATTATATTATGACATGTAACTGTGCATTATATTATGACATGTAACTGCATTATTTTATGATATGCAACTGCATTATATTATGACATGTAACTGCATTATTTTATGATATGTAACTGCATTATATTATGACATGTAACTGGATTATATTATGATATGTAACTGCATTATATTATGACATGCAACTGCATTATATGATGACATGTAACTGCATTATATTATGACATGTAACTGCATTATATTATGACATGTAACTGCGCATTATATTATGACATGCAACTGCATTATATTATGACATGTAACTGCGCATTATATGACGACATGTAACTGCAATATATTATGACATATAACTGCATTATATTATGACATGTAACTGCATTATATTATAACATGTAACTGCATTATATTATGATATGCAACTGTGGGTTACATACTGAACAAAATTATAAAAAAAAGACTTTCTCTATGTACACAAAAGGCTTATTTCACAAATCTGTCAGAATCTGTGTTAGTGAGCACTTCTCCTTTGCTGAGTTAATCCATCCACCTCACAGGTGTGGCAAATCAAGATGCTGATCAGACAGCATGGGGATTGCACAGGTGTGCCTTAGGCTGGCCACAATAAAAGGCCACTCCAAAATGTGCAGTTTCACTGTTTTGGGGGGATCCAGGGGGTCCGGAAACCAGTCAGTATCTGGTGTGACCACCATTTGCCTCACACAGTGCAACACATCTCCTTTGCATAGAGTTGGTCAGGTTGTTGATTGTGGCCTGTGGAGTGTTGGTCCACTCCTCTTCAATGGCTGTGCGAAGTTGCAGTCAAGTTGAGACCCCGATGAGGACGTCGAGCATGCAGATGAGCTTCCCTGAGACAGTTCCTGACAGTTTGGGCAGAAATTCTTTGGTTATGCAAACAGATTGTTGCAGCAGCTGGTCTCAGACGATCTTGGAGGTGAAGATCCTGGATGTGGAGGTCCTGGGCTGGTGTGGTTACACGTGGTCTGCATTTGTGAGGCCGGTTGGATGTACTGCCTTTGGAGACGGCTTATAGTAGAGAAATGAAGATTCAATTCACGGGCAACAGCTCTGGTGGACATTCGTGCAGTCAGCATGCCAATTGCACGCTCCCTCAAAACTTGGGACATCTGTGGCGTTGTGCTGTGTGATGGAACTGCACATTTAGGAGTGGCCTTTTATTGTGGCCAGCCTAAGGCACACCTGTGCAATACCCATGCTGTCTGATCAGCATCTTGATATGCCACACCTGTGAGGTGGATGGATTATCTCGGCAAAGGAGAAGTGCTCACTAACACAGATTTTGACAGATTTGTGAACAATATTTGAGAGAAATAGGCCTTTTGTGTACATAGAGAAAGTCTTAGATCTTTGAGTTCAGCTCATGATGAATGGGGGCAAAAACAAAAGTGTTGTGTTATTACAGCATATTATGTTATGTCATGTCACAGTATGTTATGTTGCGTTACATTTCAGTATATATATATTACAGTTTAATGTCTCACATTGTTATATACAGTATATTAAGTTATGTTACAGTTTATTAAATTACCATATGTTAGAAAATCTTATGGTATGTTACAGTAAAATATTTAACCATTTTATGTTTTTTAATTTATGGGGCATACACAAGTATAAAATATAATGTTATGTTCAAATCTATTACAATTCCATAGTGTTTTCTAACAGAATATGATATTACCGTATGGAATGGGCAAAAAGGGCACACATCACTGTCCTATTTACCAACATCAGCTGTGTCAACTCCCATTTGCTTCACAGATCAGCACATCCCAGTTACTGAACCAATGACTACTTCAGCTTAACATTCTGCACTATAGTGTATTTTCTCTTGGGGTGATTTGAGTCTCTTCAAACAGGAAACATGTTCCTGAGGATTTCTGTCTGAATGAGAAACAGCTGAGGATCTGAAAGAATCTGCTGTTGGACTGATAAAGATAAAATAATTATTAAAGCCTTTCATTCAGCAATGAACAACAACATTCTCATATCAAAAATCATTTCTTCATGATAAACCCTCAACAGTAAATTGAGATTCTTGGGATCTTATTACTGCATGGTGTAGAGCTGCATAACTATGAGACAAACATAAATCCATACTCACCCAGATCTGCAGCTTGATCCTCTTGTCGTTGCGATACACCGTCTTCACCTTGAAGTCGATGCCCACGGTGCTGACGAAAGAGTTGCTGAAGGAGTCGTCGGCATAGCGGAACAGGAAGGACGTTTTCCCGACGCTGCTGTTGCCGATGATCAGCAGCTTGAACATGTAGTCAAAGTTCTGGTCGGAGCCATCTCGCTGGCCAAAACGCTGGTCTGCCTTCGCCATCTGGAGGTCTGGTTTGACAAGAGAGAAAAAAGCACAATCAGTATCAAAAAGATCAATCTAAACAAGGCCGAAATCATTGGGGGACAACCTTTTATCTCTCCACTTCTACAGTTTTAAAGAGGTGGCATTCTGCTCATTTTCAGGTTCAAAATCTTATTTAGGGGTTGTACTAGAACAGCTTTACATGGTTTAATTTTCAAAAAACACCATATGTTTGTCCTACTGCACATTGCTGCAGCTCCTCTTTTCAGCCTGTGTTGAAGGCTTCGTTTTAGCTATGGAGTGATACATCTGGTCTCTAAATGATCTTTGTTGGGAGTTGCACATGCTCAGTTCCTAGTTAAGGACTACTAGCCAATCAGAAGCAGAGAAGGGCGGGTCAGCGAGAAGCCGGTAAACGGCTCGGGTTCAGCCGTACGTGTTGCCGACCGGCTCGGCAACACGGACTGGAGCGAGAGTTTCAGAGCGGTGAGTTATTAATCTGTATCCATAAAGTTTTAACTGAGCTCTGTCTCTACATCACAGGAACAACTTTATGTCCACTGACTGCCTGGAGGGTAGCTAGTGTTTGGAAGGGAGAGGACAGCTGTGTGCTGAAGCTCACTGTTTTTCCACTGGTGTTTCGGAGGGCGTGTCGGAGTAGCCGCTTGGCGAGCGTTATATGAGGCGCGTTTAGCTTTCATCCCTGTGACATCACAGGGATGAAAGGGAAGCGGCTGGACTACAAACGAGCTGTTTTCAGTTCAGAGCAGAGTTTTCTGTGGGAGATGGGAACTCCCTTTGGGCTTTTTCACTTTCCAAACCTGTTACATGCACAAAAAAGAAATTTAACTCAGTAAAGGAGAGGGAAAAAGCCAAAAAGCAGAATACCACCTCTTTAAAGTTGCACTCTGTTGCTAAAATGTTTGTGTTCAGCTGTCAAAATTAAAGATACGTCTACAGCCATGCTAGCTGCTCTCTGAGGGTGGACTTAGATTGTATTAAAGAAGGGGATGTGGCCACCATGGTGTCATCTGTTGGTTTGTGAACTACCGTTCTGAAGCCTCAAATTTGGCATTTTGGACATCGCCATCTTGGTTTTTTGGAACCAGAAGTGTCCATATTTGGATGAGAGGACGGAGCTGGGGAGGAGTGAGGGTTTATGTAGCCATGAATTTGATCCTCCAAAGTCTAGCTAGCTTGGTTTCCACCAGACACTGATTATTCATGTTAACTGTGATAGTAAGTGGCGTGAATAAATTTTGGCTAGTGAAAATTAGGCTTAAAACAAAATGTACCAGAAAAACTTTACATCTGACTACTTAGTGTCAGAAATGCTGAATGCCAAAGACATTTTAGGCGCAAAATTATAGTTAACTGTGAAAGGGTCAAAGCTCTGACACAAAAACAGCGACAACACCCAAAAACTAGTTCACAGCTGGTTAAATGTACACAGAGCAGCGGATACGAGTCGGCTCTATCCTGATTGACAAGTCGCCATGGTAGAGACATGTCAATAACAAGGTAGCCCCGCCCTAAAGCCTTCCCTGCTTCCTGGTCCATTTTCGTCTAAATGGGACCATAATTTACTAAATGAACATCATGCTGTGTTGAAGAAGACTTGAAACTAGCAACTGAGACAATAAACTCATCAGGAAAGTGTTTACTGAGGGAATAAATCAGCTGAGAAGTAGAAACATTTTCTCTCAAGACTGGCCGCTGGCTGAGGAAGCAGCAGCGGTTGCAATCACAAACGTAAAAGTACATACATTTTTATTAATTTGAATTAAACTCAAGTGAGCAAAAAGCCAGCAGATATTTTAGTGGGTGACAATCAAGGCCAAATGATGGTGATAAGGATCCTGGTTACAATTCGCCTTTAAAAAGAAGAAGAAGAAGAAGAAGTGGTCAAATCTTGAAATCGTCATTTCCAGTTAGTGCAGTTAAAGGCAGTTTCTGATTTGAGACACTACCCTTTCAAAATGTACACACTACGCAACTAAGTACATAGTGTATGTAGTGTACTCCATGACATGTACGCTATTGGTGGTTAAATATTTAAGTACAGATTTATCTCATGCCTCTGAAACCAAACTGACACCCTTGTATATTCAACATCACTGACCTACATTAATCCAAAAAATTAACAACGTTGATGCCGTGTACGCCCCAGAGTTATGCCACAGGTTCATTCAACATCAGAAAACGACATTTCTCATGTCTGTTTGCGTGTGAAATAATTTGTCACAACAACCAACAAACCATGTGCTTAAAATTCATCTGTGTTTTTAAAAGGCTCACAGTTTCACAGGTTTTCTGTGTTTTTTTTAAACTTCAGACTCCTCTGAGAAAATCCTCCGACCTCCTTCTGTGATTAAACTTTTTCGAAACCTGTCGTGATGAGTCGAAAACTGCACAAAGCTGCTCCTCTTCGTTCCTGGAAAGCTGACATTTTAGAAGTTTTCCCCACGACGAACTGCAGCCGAATATCATTCAACACAACAAGAGCCAACAAACCCACAGTGTGTTAAACAAAGACACAGTGCAAACAAACACTTCCTGTTAGACTTCACCTGTCAAGTCAAATAAAAGCTTGAGCTGCCTCTCCTGTTGACCTTGCGGGCAGGTAGAGGTCGGTCTGAAAGTTTAGTGTGTGATGGCTGAGTGAGAGCTGAGGATCCTGCTGCGTTCAATCTAGCGTGGATGGCTGAGTCAGTGGAGACTCATCCTCTCTGTCAGGGACCGGGGGAGGAAAAAAAATTACTGCAAAACACATCGAAAGCTAAACTGACATTTCTAATCCATGGATTTTTTTTTATGAGGCGTATCATGTGAGTCATTTAAGACCGTTTGGTGGAAAATAGCTGACTTTCTGCTGTGTGTTGATTGATTTTCAAGATTTTATTTATTCAACACAGTCAGTTTCTGCACTCAGATCGAAATAAAGTTTGCTGCGGCATTCGTCACTCCATTTCTTCTGCTTTCTATTCAAGACCTGTCATGTCTTCTACTGTTTCTGAGACAGAGCCTTTGTCCCAATACTTATCTTAACCACGTTTAGATTCTTTTTAACACATCAACAATGGAAAATTTCAAAATGTAGCATACTGACACAAAGATTGCACCTTTTTGGTAAAATCACTGGATTGTCATTAAACAAGCTCTGGTAAAGCCACTGTTCATGACCTGCTAAGCAGCAAATTAGCTGGTGACCATAATGGAGCATTTAGTATTTAGCTGTAGCATGATCTTTTCCCTGGGAGTTGCTGGAGACCAAAAACAGAGCTAAGATAGAGAGAATATTGGATTTACATTCATCAGGTGACAAAACACATGAAGGATCATGTTGCTCTGTAACTGCTGGATGTGTGGATAGGCATCCGGTTGGCAAAACATTTATTTCTGGATCTTTCAGCCCTTCAAAAAACACTTCAAGGACATCTGGGCAAAAAGAAGTTCTTAAGTGGTTCTTGTATTTGCAAAGATTGTGAAGATTTCAAATTTGAAATTGGCTATCCAAGGTGCAGTTTGATTGATGCAATTGTCAGCAGATAATTGCTGAAAACAAATAAATACTACTGACTTTAAATCCAACCATGCATCCATTATCTTCCACTCATCCCGGGTCAGGTCACGGCGGCAGCGGGCTACGCGGAGCATTCCAGACATCCATATCCACAGCAACCATTTCCAGCTGTGGGATCCCAAGGCGTTCCCAGGCCAGATGGGATATTTAATCCCTCCAGAGAGCGCTACCCTGGGGTCTCCGCCCAGCTAGGCGTGCCGGAAAACCTACAAAGGAAGCTGCCCTGGAGGCATCCTAATCAGATACCTGAACCACCTCAACTGGCTCCTTTCCACATGAAGGAGCAGCTGCTCTACGTCGAGCTCTGTCTGAATGTCAGAGCTACTCACTCTTTCTCTAAGGCTGATCCCAGCCAGCCTACGGAGGAAGCTCATTTAGGCACGCTTGTATCCACGATCTCATGCTTTCGGTCACTACCCACAGCTCATGACCACAGGTGAGGTTTGGAACAAAGATCAACTGGTAAATCAAAAGCTTTGCCTTCCGGCTCAGCTCCCTCTTCACCACAACAGTCCGGTGCAATTACTGCTGACACTGCACAAACCCACCTGCCCATCTCACGATCCATTTTGCCGTCACTCATGAACAAGATCCTGGGATACTTAAATGTCCTTCACTTGGGGCAGCAACTCACTCCACACCTGGAGGGAGCAATCCACCATTTTCTGGCAGTGAACCATGTCCTCAGATTTGGAGGTGCTGAACCTCATCCCAACCGCTTCACACTCGGCTGCAAACCACCCCAGCGCACGCTGAAAGTCACGTTCTGATGGAGCCATCTGAACCACGTCATCTGCGAAAAGCAGAGATGCGATCCAGTCCTTGAATATCGCAAACAGAATCGGAGACAAGGGGCAACTTTGGCTGAGTCCAACACCCTCTGATAACGTGTTTGACTTTGTGCCAAGAACAGACGCAGCTCTCACTTTGGTTAAACAAGGACCAGATGGCTTGTAGCAATGGCCCCAGTACCCCATCCTCCTGCAGTACCACCCACAGGATTCCCAGACTTTATAGCTCTCAAATATTATACATTAAACACCATCTCATTGATCTCCATCATCTTTATTTGTTAGAGTTCATAAATTCAGACACAAATCAATTCTGATTAAAAATTTTAATTCAAGTAAAGTCAAATTGGGGATTGATGTCAGTTTGTCTGTCTGTCCCCGCTTTGGTCCAGACTGAAACGTCTCAACAACTATTGGGTGGACTTGAAGACATGTAGTTCGGATGTTCATGTCTCCCTCAGGATGAGCTGTAATAAATCTGATCCTCTGACTTTTCTTCTAGTGCCATCATCAGGTCAACATGTTAGTGTGCCCAACACTTTGGTTTATGACCAAATATCAGCAGAACTAAAGACATTCCCATCAGCCTCAGCATGCAAACACGCTAAACTACACCTGCTTAACATCAGCATGTTAGCACTGACCTTAGTATTGAGTTCAAAGCACCACGATAAAATCATATCTTCACCATATTATTAATGATAATATTAAACTACAATTTAAAAAGCACCATAAAAATCACAATAAGACCATTTTAAACTTACTCTGCAGCACACTTTGAAAACTACACAAGCCCACAGAGAAATTTAACACATTATAGAGAGAAGAGACAGTGAACAGTAAGGAGAGCCACAGATGCAGCAGATAAAGATAAAACTCAACATATCAGAAAGCACCATACAGCAGCCTAATGTAAAGATTCAATAGGCCAATTAGTTTTAAAAATACAATGAAATACAAATGTGAATGATTTTTCGAGTATCATATTCTCGTTTTCTTATTAAAATACAGAGTCATCCAGCACGACAGGGCCAAGCGCAGGAAGACCATACATTCCTATAGGGAGATGAAATATCAGACATAGTACAGCAGATTAACCACTCCCCACAGACACGCTGCACCTGTGAGATCATTACGGGATATTATAGGAGCATTGGGTTTTATGACCGACATATGAAGCCGACAAAGCGCAAACGGGTCCATACAGTCAGAAAATGATGATGGTGACTAAAATTTACAACCTAACACAGAGGGTGCCTGAGAGATGGGTTATAAGGGCTGTTACTGGAGATTTTAGAGGAGATTAGAATATAAATAGCCCTGTATAATGATTACAGGAATAAATTGGCTCCGCTCAGGTGTGATCGACGTTTCTAGATTCATATCAGTCGTCAGGCCTGTGTGTGTTTGTGTGTGTGTGTGTGTGTGTGTGTTTGTGTGTGTGTGTGTTCATTAAACAAGTGTTAAACGGTGTTTGTGGTGTCACCGCCGGTCATCCGTGTCTCTCTCTTACCTCTGCTGGGCGGATCTGATGCTCTCTCTCTCTCTCTCTCTCTGCACCTGATGGAGACGGCTCGCTCTGTGTCTCTCCCAAAAATAAGGTAAACCAAAAGGTGTATCCTCAACAACAACGAGTCCGATCTGGTCCACCTAAGGTCTGTTCAGGAAATCAGGAAACGCCGGCTGCGTCGTTTGCAATGAGCAGAATTTTCTTCTGCAGAAATTGCCTATAAAACGTCTGTTTTCCGCGGTGCCGCACGCAGCTGCTTTACGCACGGCTTGACAATGCCATCCTGCTTTAATTCAAGGTGGAGCGAGGCGATGTGGGAGTATTTGCAAAGGCTGTCTGCTACCAGTCACCTCCTTCCCCTAAAAATAACCACCACCGGCTTCTCTGTGAATGAACAGCCTTTCTATTTTTTCAGGCTGTTTGCAGGCAGCTCCTCCGCCCTATCACACGGCAGATTTCTGCAGACGCGCAGCGGCAGGAGCGGCAGTCATTTGGTTCCTATGACTCATAACTGTAGCAGTGAGGCGTGTAATTGCTTCAGCTTCAATAACACAGACATCCTCCTGAAAAAGAGTAATGCTTATTTGTGCTGCAACAACAAACATATAAAACTCACAAACACACAGGTGTGTTTTCTGCTCTCTGCAGCATCATTTCACATTCAGCACACTCACCTGAGAGGCTTTCAGGGCAGCTTCTCCTCCACAGTATCATTCTGGCATTTCAGTGTTGCATCATCACAACACCACATGTGTTTCAAACTTGGTTAATCAATTAGTCTTTGATAGTTGATTAACTGTCATGCACCAGTTAAAAATAGTGATTTATTTTCAGGTTAAAGCTCCTGAAATATGAGGATTTTAAGAGTCACAGGTATTATTTGTCACTTGCTCAGACAACATCTGCAGAGAAATGCAGACTGACTGTGCTAAATGATATGTCTCTCTTCTTCTATGCCTTTCTAAAACACTTGAGCATGCTGTGTTTGTTCATTTTTCTGCATATCTCTACCAGAACAATGTCCCACCAGTCTGATTTTGAGACAGACAGGAACTCCACACTGCTAGAACAGCCTCCCTATGCTGGACCCTTCAGCAGCATTTGACACTGCGAACCACCAGATCCTCCTCTCCACCCTTTAAGAACTGGGAGTTTTAGGCTTTGTACTCACTCTGTTCACATCCTACCTCAGAGACTGGACTAACAGGGTAACTTGGAAAGAATCTGTTTTAACCTTGCAGCCTTACGACTGGGGCCCCTCAGGGTTCTGTTCTGGGTCCCCTCTTCTTCTCTCTTTACACCAAGTCACTCTGCTTGGTTCCTCGCTCGCTTGGCTTCTTCTTCTACCACAGCTATGCAGATGACACTCAACTACTCTTTTTCCCTGGTCTGAAACTCATGAGGTGAATCGTTCAGGTTCTGGTCCAGGCTCTTGTCATCTAGCACTTTGACAACTGCAACTCGCTGGGCTGCCTGCATGTGCCATCTGACCACTGTGGCATGTTCTCCCATACTACACTGCTCCTCCACTTCCTGCACCGGCTACCGATGGATCAATTCAAGACACACTGGACTACAGGACATGTTTAAACATGACACCCCAGATCTTCCAGCTTGCTACCCCATCACTATGAGTGCTTTCCAGCTACGGTCCTCCACAATGGTGGTCCGAGCTCCCCATGAACATCAGGACAGCAGCAACTGTGAAAAGACTGCACCGTGGCCAATAAGAAAGCCCAAAACAAAAAAACCTCTGTCTCTTATTGTTTCTAAATGTGGCAGAATTGAGGGCAGTTCAGCATATTTGATGAAGTTGGTGTTGGTTTGGTGAAGTTAATTGAGCTTATTGTAAATTGCTTTGGATTAAAACTTCCAACTAAATAGGCCTGTGTGCACTAAAGAAAGATAATTAGAATAAAAATAAGAATTAAAAACTATAACTATAAAGGTTAAGAATATAAAAATGATAAATGCATAGTGAAGTGGGAATTGTTGGGTCTCTGTAAACAATCTCACAAAGACGGTCTAGACCTGCTCTATGTGAAAAGTGCAATGAGATAACTTGTTGTGAAATGGCTCTATATAAATTGAATTGAATAGTGTAAGCAAAATGCTGAAGTGTTTATTGCCGCAGTGTAAGTGGGCTGTATAAAGAAAGGCTAATATGTACAAATGTCAGCTGGAAAAGTCATTTAAATGACTTTTTAATTGATGTCATTGTGAATTGAATATTATTGGCTACACTATTATATCCTGAGACAATGAGTTGAGTAATTGATAAGTTGATAAACAGAAAAAATAATCAACTTTTTTTGATCATCAACTAATTATTTGGCTCATTCCAGCTTCTCAACTGAAAGATTTGTTGCTTTATTTTGGTCTTATGTGAAATTAAACTGAATATTTTTACCTTTTGGACTGTTGGTCCAACAAAATGTTTTGGATATTCTGGTATGTGTCACGTTCAGCCATCCAGCTGACACGGTGTTAGGAGTGTGGTTTTGTGTTCATGTCTTTCCTGTTTTTTTGAGGTTCTGTGTTTCTATAAGCTTTGATCTTGTCATGTTTAGGGTTTTGTAGTTAAGTTTAATCTTAATTTGCATGTTTAAGTTTTCTTGGTATCTGTCTTATCTCTTATCTTAGTTCTTAGTCTTGTGCTTAAGTTCATGTTTAGTGTTTTTCCTGGTCTGTGTGCTTCGGTGTTTTATTATTTTGGTCTGTGTCTCAGTCCTGTGTCTCCATGTTTAGAGTAGTCCTCCTGTTTTATTTTGAAGTGTTCTGTTCTCATGTGTTCTTGTCTAGCTTTGTTCCTGTCATTGATTACCTGGTGTGTTTCAGCTCTGCTTCCCCCCCTGCTCGTTTGCCTGTGTATATATTGTCCTCAGTTGTGTTCAGTGTTTGTGACGTCCTCGTCTTGGTTGAGTGTTCTCCCGTGCTCTGTTCGCCGTGTTTTTGGATTTTCACTGTGTATTATGCTCTGTTACCTTTGTTTGAACTCTAGCCTCGAGCTCCTGTGGAAGCCTGTTTAAGTTAAGTTTTGTGTTAATAAATATTATCTTAACTGCACATCCTCCCATTTCATTTGCAGCCTTATCCATGACACGCGGGAAACAGGGATTTAGGCCCAGAAGCAGGCACTCATGAGACAGAGGTGTTATGGCAGAAAATTTTGTCCTCTTACATTTAATCTTTTATGCATGTTCTTCTGCTATTATTACTAATTTTGTTATGGCTTATAGATCTATCGAAGACAGCGGTTTGTTGTAACCCAATTATTTGCTCAACCCCTCACCAGCAATATAATTTCCACAACAAGAGGTATATTTAGTGGGGTTTTATAAAACAAAGGTGAACTTTACAGGTGAGGTGGCAGTCCAAAATACGGCAACATTTATCCAAACATGAAGATAAAAGTCCAGAATCCCAGGAAACAGCATTAATCCAGGAGACATGCGGAAGTGACGCAGTCCAAAAACAAAAGACTAACAGGAGAATAACAATAAATCCAAAATGAGTGAGTAAACCCAAGACACAGGAGAGGCAGGAGGAACACTGGTGAGACACGACACAGTGTAAACCAGGCTGGGTGAAACACTTGTAAACAGTGAAATGACAACTAGACAATAGTGAGACATAGACTTAAACACCTGGAGGCGACGAGACACAGGTGAAACACATCAGGGCAGGTGCGAACAATCAACCCAGAAACACAAGAACGGGAAGTAAAACCAACCAAAAAAGACACAGAACCGTGACGAGATGTTTTGACATTTTATAGACCAAACAATTAATTGATTAATCACAAAGATGAATCCGCAGATTCATCAGTAATGAAAATGACTCATAGCTGCAGCAGCTACTCTCTCAGTGTTCGCAACAGCACAACATCAGCCGACATGATGAGTGTAAAAAACTCACTGAGGGGCTGCTACACTAAGATTTAATTATCACGTGTGTCTCCAATAAAGCGCTTACACTCCCCAAGAGATTTCAATTATTATTGCACAAAAAAAATGCATGCTGGAACAAAATCTGAGCAGGTTGACACAGACTGAGCGTGGAAACCACCAACAGAGCTCCAGATACACAACATCTAACGGACATGAACACATAATACAAACAGTACACACTCACATACAACTAAAGGAGGAGGCTGGGGAGGTGGAGGGAGTTTCAGTTTCAGAGAGGCAGAGGTCACGGACGTGCATGATTGGAGGGTGTTTGGAACACGGGGCTCTAAAATGACATCTGGGCCATTTTGCCCATCAACAAAAGTCAAAAATTTTTAACTACAATACAGATCAGGAGGTGCTGTTGCAGATTAGTCCACTATTACCTTTTAACGTTCCACAGAAAGTACAAAAACAGCTATGAGTTAATTTTCTCTGTTTAAAAATAATCAGTTTTGGTTTTTGTAAACCGGCTCAGAGTCAGTTTGTAGTCTGGATTCGGGTTGCAGGAGCCTGGAGACTCTCCCGTTGTAACCTGGGTACAAACTGGTACAAGTTTCCAGTTGACTTTACCTGCATGTTGTTTGACTTTGGGAAGAAACTTAAACACCTGGAGGAATCACAACAGATTCAAGCATGTTAGCATACTGGACAAAGAGTCTGCAGCTCTGTGAGGCTGTATGTAGGCACAGTTCAGCTAAACGCTAATGTCAGCATGCTAATATGTTTAAATGTCACTGCCTAAAAACTGGTAGGTAGTGTTGGAGTCAAGAGCGCCAGAGTTTATCGAGACGATGACAAGACCAAGACTTTTAGGGGCTGAAACCAAGTCGAGACCAAGACCAGTTCCCCACATTACATAATAAAATGCGAGATCAAAATCCTGAGTCCTCAATGTCCGAGACAAGACCGAGACGACGCCACTGGTAGGTATCATGTTTACCGTGTTATTAGCCAAAATTAGCATGTTAACAATTGCTAATTGGCACTAAACACAAGGTTCAGCTGATGGGAATGTCATTAGTTAGTTTTGCACATATTATGTTCATATTCATAAACTACAGTATTGGGCAAAAGGTCAGAGGAGCACCAGATCACCAGTCTGGACTGAAGTGGTGGCTCACGTTATGGCTAATACACACATTTCTTCCGTCTTGATCTGAGCACCTGTGAACTTTGAGAATAAAACAACAAAAAACCTACAGAAAGTATTCGATTAAAACGATGAAAGGTCAGCGCTCGGCTTCAATCAGCACCAAGCCAGAAATCTTGGTGTAGTCGTGGACTCAGACCTGAATTTCAGCAGCCACATTCAGACCGTTAAAAAGTCAGTCCATCTATCGCCTGAAGAATAGGTCAATGATTAAAGGCACAGATTTTATGTCAGTGTCAGGTTTCTTCAGTCATTAAAGGACTAATGTCTTAGCAGGACCTTAAAAAACAAGTCCATGCGTTTATAATAGTAGCCGACTCGACTACTGTAACAGTGTCTTTACAGGACTCCCTAAAAAAACAAATCCATCAGGCAGCTGCAGCTGATTCAGAACGCTGCTGCTCGAGTCCTCACTAGGACCAGCAAAGTGGATCACATCACTCCAGTTCTGAGGTCTTTACGCTGGCTTACTGTCTGTCAGAGAACTGATTTTAAAATACTGCTGTTGGTTTATAAAGCACTGAATTTGCTGCTGCTGCTACCTTATGAACCATCCAGACCTCTCAGGTCATCCGGGATCAGGTCCGCTTTCTGCATTTTATCAAATTTAAGACTTTTGATTAATATCTTACATGTGCTGTAACTTTTGCTGTCCTGTTTTAACCTGTTTTTATTTTCTTAAAAAAAGAAAAAAAAGAAATTTGTATTTAAAATGTATTTTTTATGTGTCCCAATGTTGCTTTTATGTAAAGCACTTTGAATTGCCTTGTTGCTGAAATGTGTTATACAAATAAACTTGCATTGCCTTATTCATACACTACATGGCCAAAAGTATGTGGACACATGGACATTCATGTCATTTTGAAACCAAGCCTCCCTTCTTCAGGTTTCAGTCTCGCAGGGATTTGCTCCCGTTCAGACACAAGAGCATCAGTGGAGTCCAACAGTGATGCTGGACATCAGGTCCGGCTCAAAGCTGATGGATGGGAAACGGTGGAGGAAGTATTCAGATCCTTTACATAAGAAATGAAAAATACTCCCAAATTCCCAATTAATCAATCAACAAACTGGGTCTTTTATAGGATCCTACACACATTAACGTAAATTTGCATTTACAAGTACTGTACATGTACTGTATATACCTTATTTTATTCTCTCTCTCTCTCTCTCTCCCCAGACATACATATATATATATATATGTATGTGTATATATATACACACACATATATATATATATATATATATATATATATATGTATGTGTATATATATATACACACACATATATATATATATATATGTGTGTGTATATATATATATATATATATATATATATTTACACACACATATATATATATATATATATATGTGTGTGTATATATATATATATATATATATATATATACACACACACACATATATATATATATGTGTATATATACACACATATATACATATATATACACATATATATACATATATATACACATATATATACATATATATACACACATATATACATATATATATATACACATATATATACATATATATACACATATATACACATATATATACACATATATATATATATATATATATATATATATATATATATATATATATATATATATATATATATATATATATATATATATACACACACACTTTTACCTTTTTTAAAGATGATTCTGAGCGACGCACAAGAATTCCAGTGTACCTGTGTAAATGGCAATAAACTTTATTCTATTCTAATGATCTGTCTGACTTTACTTTATGTTACCAGTCTGATCTCTGCTGACACAAACATCTTCATGAATGATTGTTTTGACTATTTCCTGACCGGTAAGAACAAGCTTAGAGTCACAGCACCACCTTGTGGATACCTTCTACTCCACCACAGGGAAATACAGTTTAATTACTTCACTGTATTTATTATCTGACAGCTTTAGTTACTTCTTGAGATTTTCACACCCAAAACACAGGATGAGTTTCTAAAATATGATGATGTTTTTGTTGTAAATTAAACTCCCCAATAATCAGAACAGTGCACAGAAACACACAATATTTAAGTGAGCTGACCCCTAAATAGTTCAAGATTTATTTCTGCAGTTTGACTGAAGTGGAATCTAATCTAAGAATGTAACGCTGCTTAAAACAGGAAAGAGACGAACAAATTAAAATAAAACTGCAGGGCAGAGCGGGATGCGGAGGTTCTCACTGTTGCCACACACAGCAAGAAGGTCTGTGCTCTCCCCGTGTCTGCTCCGGCGGTGGGTGCTCTGGTTTCCTCCCACCATCCAAAGACATGCGACCTAGGTAAATTGTCCTTAGGTGTGAGAGATGGACTGGCGACCTGTCCAGGTTATGCCCCGCCTTTCGCCCGATGTCAGCAGGGATTGGCTCCAGCCCCCCGCGACCCTGCACGCAGGATAAGCGGTTGAGTATGAATGCAGGTATCCAGAAGGTGGTGCTGTGACTCTAAGCTTGTTACTAGTCAGGAACAGTCAGTCAGAACTGAAGAAGTCCTTTGGATGAGGGACGAAACGTCTTCCAGTATCTTCAACCAAGCCCAGTTGCCCTTGATTTTAACCTTCGTTGGATAACTATGACCTGGATGACTGAGAATCTTCAGACATCCTGTGACAGCAGAATCTTTACAAACCAAACAATCAGTGAAGAATTAATGAAGGAAATAATCACCGTTTTATATTCCCACATTAATACATACTGACACACTGGGCGCTGGGCCGCGCTCCGGTTGGTTTCAGGGTCATAGTACAGCAGGTTGTAGGTGAGGGGCCCCGCAGCAGTTTGACCCCTCAGTAATCCAAACTACGACTCAGCAGCTAACAAACATTTATTATTATAACCATTTATTTATTTAGGTCCTTTTGCGTGCTTGAATAAAATCGTCAGTTCTGGTTTCATTTGGATTGTATATTTGTTTTTGGCTGCAGTCACCAAACCCAGCCGTTGTTGCACTGACATTTATAAAATGTCTCCAATTTGAATAAAATTCGAGACATTTATAAAATGTCTCCAATTTGAATAAAATTCGAGACATTTATAAAATGTCTCCAATCTGAATAAAATTCGGATGGACTTCCATCACATTTTCAGTGAACTCAGGGAAAAACAAAAGACCCCTCAGATCAGCTGGAGCCCACTGACTCGCTGCTCCAGCTGTTACGCAAATGTCATCAGGTTCAAGAGGAGAGAATGTCCCATCACATGTTTCCGGTTTTCAAAGAAGAACTTGTTGTTATTTCATATAATTAGCACTGAACTATTGAACTATATTTAGCCTCCCCGCAAACTCTAAAAAAACTGCAATTCTGCTGAAAATTTCAGTTCTTGTAAATCAGGTTTGAGGCTTTGATAACGTCTAAGGTTCCACTTTACTGTAATGTGGATAAAATACAATAAAAAGCTGGAGCTCTGGCTTTCCCTGCCTTGATTATACAGAATATGCAGCACAACACACATAGGCTATACACACAGTACATACACAATACCATTAAATATTTACACAAGAGCACTAAATTAAATAGCATTAAATAGCCTAAAATAAACAATATCAATGTTCTTAGGCTTACTCTTTTTAATTGTATTTAAATGTTTTTATATTGCCAGATGTGTTGCTTTTTATGGTTCATGTAAAGCGCTGTGAACTGCCTTGTTGTGGAAGTGTGCTTTGCAAATAAACTTCTCCTTCCACCCTTTCGCTTTCTGTTTCCTATTGGCCTTGTTAATTACAAGCAGACAAAGCGTGCAACCTAGATGAAGGAGACGAGAAGGCTTTTAATTTCTGACATGCGGAAATAGCAGCTCATTAGACACACAGATCCAATCCTGTCCTGATCAACAGCGCGTTATCAGAGAGACTCCTTCATCTCGCTCTTCAGCCTGTTGCCTCCACACAAGCCGACATCATCATGGGCCCGACGGGGATTTGCTGCATCGGTAAGTTTCTGACAGCGTGTGATTATTATTTTTATTTTTTAAGGTTTCTAAATCCGTTGTCAAACCAAAAACAGCCGCCAGCTGCAGCACAGAGAGAAACGTCAATCATTTACAGAGCGAGTCCTCTCGGCTGAGCTGTGGGTGTGAAATTATGAATGAACGCATTCGGAGTTGCAGAAACAGGCGAACAGAGAAGCTCTTAAATAAAAAGGTTTATAGATCAGCGGCCGGTTGGTGCGCGCGTTGTAAAGGATGGTCCGTGTGGTTTTGTGCCCTGAGAGGACCGGATCCAGCCGGTATCGATGGGGGACTTTCCGCTTGATCGGCACCAGAGGTGGCATGAACAGGGTGAGAGGAGGATATAGCCTATAAATCCCAGCACCCCTTTCTGCCTCCCAGCGACCTGTTAACATGTTTATTCTTCACTGTCGGTGTTTCAGTGCACCTGTGGCTCATTCCTCACCATCACTGGGTCTGTGCGCGTTTTTCCCCCCAGCCCCTCGGTGAGGTTAAGGTGTTTTTAGGACGGATTAGGCTTATTCTTACTGTGTTTTACTGCTTATTTAGACTTTAGGGACGTCGAGTGTCGCTAAAAAAAAAATCAAAGCTGATGCGAGATGCGTGCGTAAAGTCACACGACCGATAGATGTGAAGTCTTCACACGAATGAACATATGTTCTACTTTATTATATATAAATAAAAAAAGGAAATTATTGGTGCAGTTCAATAAAGTTAGGCTACGATAAAGAAAACAGAATGTAAAACAATAATCCCACACACACACACGGTCCTGCTGCCGGCGGGGCTTTCCATCCCTCAAAACATGGAGCTCTCTGCGCACAAGCACATGCCTTCAGTTACCAATGCTGAGTCCTTTACAGAATCCATACACCTTTTATTATGAGACGAAATATTCCAGTTTAGTGGCATGATGTAGTGCTGTGTTTATAGGCTATTACATGTAAACCCTGTATGTGTGTTGAAACAGGTAGGGAGGTAAAAAAAAAAAAAGTCGTCATATCACATTTGTGGAAAGATTGATTCCCAGAAAAGGGGTGCTGCTGTGTGTTTTGTCTTTATGTTGTGTGGTTCATAATGAGGAAATGCTTAAAATTAACAGTACATTGCGAAAGTGAATCGTGTTAGTTTTTAGTGATTTGTGTGCGAGTTACCTTGAAGTCTGCCTCTGAGAAATTCATTTGCCGAGCAGGAGGCAGGTACTGATGATTCTGCAGAAAGGAAACACACAAACACTCATGTTAAAGCTACATGTTCTTTAATCCAGCTTCATGCAGACGTGTGTCCAAGTTGTCTGGGAGATTATTCGGTGTGTACTTGCTGTGTTTGTGGAAGTGGATCACATGAGTCTAGTGAAATTACCACAGTGTCTTTTAAAAGGTTCGGCAGCTTTCTAGGACCATCGTGTCTAAAGAAAGGAACATGGCTGCGGGTGATTCTTATGCAAATTTACACCTCAGCCGCCCATTTCTCATAGTGACAGGTCATGATTTAAAACCACACACTGCTCATGCACTCAGCTTATCACAACCCACCAAGTGAATGAATGAAAGAAAAGGTGCAAACAAGGCAATTACAGGGATTATGGCTCTGTTATTACTTGATATCAGATCAGATAGCACACAGACACTCACATGTTGTGATTGTTGATGTATAATAATACAAATAATAATACAAAACCATTTCCTTTATTTTTCATCTTAAGGGGCCGATGTTTGGGGATTTCCATTCTGTGAGATGTCAGTGTACAAAATATTAATATTCTACAGTTGCAATGTGCCACTTAATACTGAGCCAATAAGTAAAGGGTGTGGCTTAAGAGAAACAGAGACTGAAAGAACATTATATAGTTCAGAGGGAGCACGCATGGCGTTTGATTTGGCTTGCATCCAGCCATAGCTCACTTTGATTCAGTGCGACTTCCACTTTCTGAGGTCATCATTACATCTACAAATAAGAATCAGAATCAGTATCACAGTAATCCGGTGAAAGTTGTCTGTACATGGGAACAAACAGGAGCTGCTAACAGCTAATTCAGCTACTGTTAATGGTGACAATCTGATTATATGTCAGCAGATATAGGCTAAACAAACAGAGCTCAACTTGTAGCTCATGCTTGCTTTTAAAAATAAAGAGTATTGATTTGCTTTTACTTGATATCAGATCAGGTAACACCCACCCAACTTCATAAGATTACATATCATCACACCATGTTTATAAGATCGGACTGAAATGAAGAAAAAAATTACCCTGAAACACGCAGGAAGTGAAGCATGGGAATGTCTTGTATTGTCTGTGTGTGTGAGCTCACACATGCCACAGTCCTAACACACACACACACACACACACACACTGCAGTGCGAGTGTGTTCACTGCCCTGCTGGGTACTGGGGTTTGGGGATTTCCTCCCCAAACCTGCCTGAGAATCTTCATGTTTTTAAGTTTTCTTCTGTATCACAGTAATCCGGTGAAAGTTGTCTGTACATGGGAACAAACAGGAGCTGCTAACAGCTAATTCAGCTACTGTTAATGGTGACAATCTGATTATATGTCAGCAGATATAGGCTAAACAAACAGAGCTCAACTTGTAGCTCATGCTTGCTTTTAAAAATAAAGAGTATTGATTTGCTTTTACTTGATTTCCTCTTTGTGCCACAGTCAGACTGTATATTCATCATATTTCAGCTCCACAGCAGACATTTTATTAGATGTACAGCTGTTCCTTCAGCACATAAACAGGTAATGGCTTCCTTTCTCCTGTGAGTCTCAGAGACTCAGAGAGGGAGCACGCATCTAATCTGAACACACAGACGTGATACACATATTTTTAGATTCACTGTGACTCACACTTTCTGAGGTCATCATTCATAAAAACAAGTCACTCGTTAGAACTTGCAGAACCTGCCTGAGAATCTTCATGTTTTTAAGTTTTCTTCTGTATCACAGTAATCCGGTGAAAGTGGTCTGTAAACGGACACAATGCAAAGAGGAGCTGCTATCAGCACATTCAGCTACTGAGTCTGATTATGTGTCAGATAAACAAACAGGGCTTCAGTTGCTGCTCATGGCATAGCGCACCGACCCCGTGGTGACATACTTCCTCATACATTTCTGAATAGCATGTCTGTTTATTCAGGCTCCATTTTCTTGCCAGCAGGATCAATGTCAGTTTTAAGAAACAGTAGATGTGGATATTTATAGTTAGCTCGTCGTGTGTGCAGTATTTCAGTAGCAGCCCTCACAGCCCTCAGTGTTACATAATGACTGAATCGAGATCGGATTTCACAGAGGTTTGGTGTGAGTGAATGTGTGTGTATAACATGATGAAACTGATGTGGTCATGTTACTCCGCACTCTGATTCTCAACAGCTTTAAACAATAGTGGTGGTGACGAAGTGAATGTTTGGCGGGTGTTGTGGGAAGCTGCATCTCTCTCAGCATGTACAGTAATTGTTAGTGAGGAAATACAAATAAGCTGAGTAAACACACCGCCACACGTGGATAAATCATCACGGAAGTGCAAGACAAACAACTTTATCTGAGCCTACAGGTCTTTAAAAAGTCTTTAAGTCTGTTTGACAATCAAAAAGGGATCAGCATGGTGTTATTCTGCTGTCCTGACAACAGATATCATGTGTAGACCCCACAAAGCACGAGGAGCAACAACCACCTGACTGAAAGAGTCTTTTTTTGTGGTCGTTTTGTGGGTAACTAGCTTCAAACCAGTTCTCTGGCACAGGTGCTCGGAAGTCGTGTGTCAGTCAAAATGAAAGCTGCCGTAAATTGCATGAATAAAAAAAAAAAAATCTTTACAGAAATGAAAAATGTATCTAACTTAAGTATCCCAAAAAGGAAAAAAACAAAAAAAGAAAACAAACACAATAATCCAGAAAAGGAACTGAAATCAGAAAAACATTTCTCCTTGTCTTGGTGCTCCAGGGAAACCGGTCACCCCACCTCACCATTCCTCCCCCCCCAATCTCCATTTATGGTTCTTCCTCTTTATCTTCTCATTAACACGCACAACTAAAGTGTGTCATGCATGTCAAATGACTCACATGAGTCACATGAAGAAGTATGTGCTGAAAGACGTATGAAGGTAAAAACATCATCAGGTTTAACTTCAATCTGAGATTCCTGGAAGGGGCACCGTTAGATATTCTCAGAAAAGACAGAGCAGTGGCAGTTGGGTTTGGGACTTTCCTTGTGACCAGGACCAACGGCAGGTCGACACTGTAGTCTGTGAAAAGGAAGCAGAGACAATCAGGCTCAGCTCTAAGGTGAAAGTTGGGGAACCACAAGAAGGGTCACAGCAGGACGATGTATGAGGGTCAACCTAAATTACTTCAGTGTATCACCAGACGTGTCTTTAATAAACTGTTTTGTTCACCTTTTGCCTCGAGCGTGTGAAAAAAGGTCGTTTGTCAAAGAAAGTAATTTCCCAGGGCGTGGCAGGTAAAAAGGCGGGGGGAGGGGGGGGGGGGGCAACAAAACCCCGGCTGCTCTTTTCTTTACTCCTGTGCATTTTTTTTATTCACTGCATTCCTTTCTCCTGACGTGCAGATGAAAATAGCCATTAGCTCAGCATGAGAGAAAAGTTAATAAGCAGCTCCTTCCCAAGTCTTCACGTATCTGACATATTAAGTCATTTATTTTTGGATCCGAGTTGTCTTAATAACCTGCTTTACAACAATGGACTTTACTCCCGCAGCCCTCTTTAGGCGACTCACTCTGCCTCAAGGCTGTGTTGTGGTGGCCACAGGGAAAGAGCTCTGAGCCGGCACAGTTGCTAAATCTATAAAAGGTTTTTCACGGATCCACTCAAACACAACATTTTCTTACAACAATACAAAGTTTAGATCTACGTTTGACTGCTTTTAAAAAGTCTGTTTATTCTGAGTCAGGAGCGAGGCGGCTCTGCGATGAACTGATGTGAACTCTGTTAGAACTAAACCGCAGTCAGAGTTTATCTTTGAGAAACCAAAGCTCATCACTGCACTGATTCACACTTTTATCTCCGCCGCAGTTGGGCTTCTACACAAACCCAGCTCTGATTATACGTTCATTCACACTGTATGTGCAGAGATCTGTTTGGTGATCATGAAAAGCTCTTAATCTCTATGAAACTGAACCTTTATATGAGCTATGATAAGCTGGGTGTGAGCAGATATAAAGAATTGACTGCCAGACCTCAATTCACTTCTCTTCCCAGTTTAGTGAGGTCAGATTTGCAAGATTCCATCTTATCCGTCTCTTCCATTCCTCGTCTCCTGAGAGCCCTTATCCCCTTTGACTTCATGTCAAAGCCCTGTGGGCTTGACCCCTGACCTGCAGAGACAAGTAAAACAAGACGTCTGTTTTTGATTACATTATAAATGTCAATGTCTTTTTTTCCTGCTGCTTAAATGTTAAACGTATCACCGTTGGCCTCAGAGAAAGGAAATTTACTCCCTACTGATGTTGGCTATTTTTATTGTTGTTACTATTATTTAAAACATGGGGGGAAAAAAACACATAATTGAATCACAAACGACATTAATTACTTTCCCAGGTAACAAAAAATCCATGTGAAAAGTGATTATATTTAACAAATAAGTGAATGTTCCTCCCAGAAGCCTTAGATTTTAAGCATCAAACACGTAATTTCTTGCAGTCTGGTGAAATTTTCTGCCTTTTCTGCATCAGTTTATGGACTAAATCTTACTATATAAAGGAAACACAAAATTCAGGTGGCAGGTGACAATTCAAATATATAAATAGAATATAATAGAATTTAGTGAGACTCTCGGAGCTGCACCACAAGTAAGCGGACAGAGAAAAAAAAACAAATATAAAATACACCTTCTCGTCCAGGCGCAGTGGACTAAACTGGGAGGTTTTAATGTTGCAGACCACAGTTTTTTTGTAAGTAGTTTAAAGTTTAAATTAGTGTAAACTCGCCTTAGAATTTCCAACTAACAAACGCCCCCCAAAATCAACTCTGCGCCCCCCTTTCCAAAATATTACTGGTGTACCTGATGAAGGCGCGAAGGTTGTTATAGTTCATCCTGAGGGGAACATGAAGGTCACAATCCACCCAGCAGTTTCTGAGAAATTAATAACAAGAAAAACTTAAATTACTCTGGTGGCTCAATCCAGACTCCATAAACATTATACTGTTTTTAACACATTATGGGTGCGTGGTACACTGATTTTTAGATCAGTCTTAAGCTGCATTACAAATAAAAATGAGGTAACTCGAGCATGTTTCTGGTCACAGTTTGGTTTTGGTCAGTTTGAGTTAATCATGTTTTTTTCCCCCCCTTCTTCATTTTCAGCTTCTGTACTACTGATTGCTTCTGCTGCAGATGAAAAACACGAGTCTCCACCAGCTCTAACCTGCGACGTTGCAAAACAACCCAACGGGTTAATCAACTACGAACTTTCTCGACTGCCCAGTTCACCCAGCTGTAGGCCGAACTGGGAAACAGTGAACGTAAGTCCTTCACACTCATCGTTAATAAGATCTAATGCTGAGAACAGACTACAGGGTGTTTTAGGCGATCATCAACTGAGAGGCATGACAGATTACTTTTCTGTGCTCCTATTGGTCAAAGTCACCGAACACGTCATAGAATTTGTCGAACTAGAACATGTAGTGTTTTTCCTTCTTCTCCTTGTGCTGGTACCTTGTCGTGGTGGAGAGGCTTGTGTGTCCCACAGACCCTGAGAGCTGTGCCGGAGGGAGTTTCAGCTCCCTGCAGGTTCAACCAAGCCAGATTGGTCTCAGGTGAGGGGCCCGACCAAAAACAGCACACCGGCCCTTCGGGTTAGTTAGTGTCTACACACAGGATGTGTTCAGGCTAGAGGCGTCACGTCGTTGGCCTACAGGTCGTATTGACTGTTTAACGCTAATTAAACATGACAAGCCAAAATAAGACGTGGACTGAGGAATCTCTGGTGATATAAATAAATAAATACACGACTGTGCAAAAGGTTGGTGCGGGGAAAAAATGCTGGATAGTCTTTCAAAAATTACATGTTTACTCATGAGTTACATTTATCAATTAACAAAATGCAAAATGAGAAGATCTAAAATCAGCCTTCAAAACAGCATAAATCCTTCTTGGGACCTTTGCACAGAGTTTTTAAAGGAACTCCCCTCAGTCCTTCTGTGGATTTAGGCAGCCTCAGTTGCTTCTCTCTCTTCATGTAATCCCAGTTAGACTGAATGATGTTAAACATCAGGGCTCTGAAGGACACCATCACTTCTTCAACCACATCCAGTTAGTTAAAGTTACCCTTAACTTGAAACTTTCTTGGATGACTCAATCCTCACAGACGTATATCGTCAATAAATCACAATATGAGCACATGTGAGTGAGTATGAGTGATAGTTTCAGTTTACAGTTACTGAGACTTTAAATTGTGACTGTAAAGAAAACTATAGATTACACTCTAGTTCCTTTTATCATGAATCTTCTTCTTCTCTCCCTCAGTGCAGCAGTAAACTGTTAAAAGTCTGGAAAGGAGCTTTAGTCCCCCAGAACATTAATAAACACGTATTTTGTGGTTAAGTGTACGGAGGGTAATCCCCTGTATTTAGGCAGAATGGTGCTTTGAACAAAGTGCTAACACATCTTTAGTTTAGCACGCTAGCATGTCAACATTTGCTTATTTAGCAGCAAACACAAAGTCTAGACGAGGCTGATGGGAATGTCATTAGCTATGCACAGCTAACTAGCTAACAGGCGGTGTGGACGTAGATTCGAGTTTGGGAATTTGGCCACCGCCATGTTAATTTTTTGCAACCAGGCCCCGGATGTGACCATATTTGGAAAAGAAGGTGGCGCTAGATAGCTTGTAAGGAAGGTACAGCTGTAATTCACGTGATTTTAATCAAGATGCTAATTTTGGCAGGCGATAAACGGGCTTGAAACAAAAAATGAATACCTTTTTACACAGAGCAGCAGATACGAGTCACCTCTATCCTGATTGACAGGCCGCCACAGTAGAGACTTGTCAATCAGCTTGTAGCCCCGCCCTAAAGCCTCCCCTGCTTCCTGGTCTCTGTTCCTCTAAATGGGACCATAATTTACTAAATGAACATCATGCTGTGTTGAAGAAGACTTGAAACTAGTGACTGAGACCATAAACTCATCAGGAAAGTGTTTACTGAGGGAATAAATCAGCTGAGAAGTAGAAACATTTTCTCAGAGACTTCTATATAATCACACTTCTTTCTGCAGCCGCTGGAGTCGCCCCCTGCTGGCTGCTGGAGAGGACGCAGATTTGCTTGCAAAGTGACTATTTGGGTATTTGGGCTGAGCTGTTTGTGATGGTGTGATGCAACACTATCTGTAAAGGTCTGGGAAGTTTGTGTTGCGCCATCGTCTCTCAGTGATCAGGGAACTCCCTATAACTCCATTTGCTTTTCTACTTCTTATTGTTTGAATCGATCTGAAGAAATGAGCTGCTGCTGATCGCTGGAAAAACCCCACCTGAACCCTGTTTGTGTCTTTTTTTTTGCACTGTCAAGAGTGGTTGTTTTCTCAGGTTTAGAAATAAATCTGTTAAATTCCCATTTTGACAGAACTGAATAAAATCTGACCTCTTAATGGGTCTGTGTTTATTTTTCAGAAGACTGTGATCGTCAGTGAGGCGTTTACATTTGATCAACAGCTTGTGCAGAATGTGACCAAACAGTCCGTCTTCCTCAAAGAGTGCCACGGCTACCTGCACTACAGGGAGAACTGTGAAGGGGTAAAGAACTGCTTCTGATCCAGCCTCAGTGCCAGCATCAGAAAATACATATACCATTTAGTCAAACTCTAATAACCAACTTTTAATCCAGCTGCAGGCAGCTAACACACTAACCTTGAAAGCTTATTTGGGGAATGTCACCAAATCGGCTTTTTTTAAAAAATCATCTGGAAAACAATGTGCAGCCATTTCTGTCCGAGCAGCACAGAGAGAAATGCTTGATGACCCTTTATTTAATTTTATTTATTCTTCTTTATTGATCAATAGAGAGCTAGAGCTATGGCACTGAAATGAATACACACAACATGGTAAATATGCTCAGTGCATAACCTTTATCTTTAGCAGCCCAGATACTCTTGTTGCAAGTTCATCTGACCTCATTAATCCTCCCACCAACTCAGACCTTAAACATGCCCAGACATGTTCACTCTAATTTTAGCACCAATTTCTAATGTAATCTACACTAACCTCTCATTGTTTTTATCTCTGTGGATCACTTCCTTTTAGGTCTTTAAGGAAGCCCATTGCAGAGGTGAGTGATGCATGAAAACCTCAAGTTGCAAAATACACCATTAATGTGCGTTTTCAGTTAACGGCCCACGCGGCACACTATAAAAGACTCGTAATACACAGTAATATAGAGTCACTAGAGCTAAAATGTGTTCTTGTTTTCTGTTCTTTAAAAAGTCTGAAATGCATGTGTGATGATCAGTTACAACCTTTTTTTTTTAGTGTTTCAGCAGACGGCATTTTCCAAAGAAGAAAATTAAATGAATGAAATGATAATGGTACCCAATACATTAAGATTTTACATTAAAAACATATTTAAGGTTAAACCTGTTCCCAAACTTTTTCTGCTGATAGTTCTTATAATAAATCTGTGTCTAGTTGGACTTTGGTAAACATTTGTGCAAAATTTGGGTACAAACTTGTGTGAATAATGATTGTAAAATGATTATCCCTTCTCACACTGATCTGTTTCTGTTTTCTAGTGAACTGCAGCCGTCTTTTGGACAGTGGCGTTCATCCAACCACCCGTGAGTTACCACTTTTCCTTCAACAAATGTACTAACGCTTGTGGTTTTACGACTGTTGCTTAAAGCGCAGTAAACCACTTTATGAACTGCTGGCTGCAGCTTGAAAGAACCACAGGTCAACCGCAGGACGCCTCCTGTGAAGTATTGAACAACAGGGACATAATATTTCCCTAACTGCACCCAAGTACTGCCAGTTTCTAAATGTCACTGTAAAACAGTTCAGCATTTCTAAACAGGACAGTTTGGGGGGGAAACTAAAACATGTTTTTGGGCAACACATCACAAACATTAACTAGAACTGCAAGCAGTTGTAAGCGGGGTCCAAGCCTCCTGACGCCAGCCGCGCCCCTTGCCCCACGGAGGCCGGGCAAGTTGTCCTGGGCGCCCCGAGGATGAAGAGGGAGCAGAGGCCGCGTGCTCGCAGAGAGATGAACGAGACTGAACCTTTTGTGTTCATACAATGCAATAATGGCGCCACTTATTGTCCCGAATTGAATGAAATGTTTTACATGGCGTCGGGGGCCCGTGGTGAATAAATGAGCAGAGTTTCATATTAAATGGTCTTGTGGCTATGGAGATATAAAATGAATGTATGTCTATGGGAGTCTTATTTGATATGAATTAACAGCGCCACCTTGAGGCCGAATGACACAAAATTTCATACAGCCCTTTGGGACGGCACGCCACATAAGCTCCGCAAGTTTGCTGTAGATCGGACATCACTACCCTAGGTTATGACATCACTTCCACTTTTTGTGTTGGGTGTAAAAAATGTTAGCTTACTATTCGCACATTTTTTCGCAGATCAAAATTTCCTTAAACTTTTATCAGCTTCGTCCATAGATGAGCCGTGTGGCTTCGGAGGAGTTAATTAAAATAGGTATTTCAGTTTCGCCATTTTGCCAAAAATAAATTATAAAATTATAGACCGAAATGGGTGTGGCCCAAACACGTGGATATAAGGTTTTTGGGTATGCGCGAGTTCCAAGCCCAAATGCGTTGACCTTGCTTAAAGCGCCCCCTTGAGGTTGAAGTGTGCTCCCTAGTTCACTCGCCGACTGTCAGGCTGTGATCGGGGGGTAAATCAGCGGCCGGTCGGCGGTTCGGCAGTCGTTCTGTGTGAACTACACAAGGACGCATCAAAATGGCTCCCCGACACGATCCCTGATCGCCAACGGCAGCCAGATATCTAGCACGCCAAATACATCCACATCCAACTCGACAGCCGCATGTCGAGCTCTCTGTAGCTCAGACGATCCCTGCTACCTGCGTGTGCTGATCCATCCTTTCACCTGTATTCTTCATAATTACTCTCTTTATAATAACATCGGGCGACTCAGCCGCTGTCAGCTCCTGTAGTGTGTCACCCCCCTGTCACAGGTCAGTCACGCCACAACGACTTCAAGACTCCCGTCACAGGATCGGCCGACTCTGAAAGTCGTGTAGTCTGCACAAGGCATAAGGGGCCTGTACCTACCCTATGAGTGTCACGTCTAGGCCGCAGTATCACTTTTAGCGTCGGAAGAATAAAAATAATAAAAACCGTAACGATTCCAATAGGCCCTGCTGGTCCTGGAAACTGCGATGCCTTACATTCGCGGGTTCCTATGCCCTTCTCGGGCTTTGACCCCTAATGAACATTTCCTCATGATGTTAAGCACATATGTAAAACAAATTTGGTCAGTTTCCTTCTAAACATATTTGCTAATGTGATGTAGTTGTATATAATCGTCCTTTCTTGGAGACTGGGATGGTAAAGTCACGTCAGTGTTGGAAGCTCGTAGATTCAGCACAGACTCAAAAAACTCCAGTAGAGAAAAGTAAAAACAATAATAAAGCTGCTGTACTGGTGTGAGTTTCAGGCTGAGGAATCTCGCAACCTTCCAGCAGCTTCGCAAAGGAGCTGAGAAAAGCAGATACACAAACTAGGGATACTTTGCATAACAACTCAGACGTTCTGCCTTTAGATTTAATAAAAATATGATTCTAAATTAAGTTTCCAGCATCTTTTTATAGTCGAGCGTGTTGACTTCTCCTTTTGAAAGAGTGAAATTCTGAAATAGTTTAAAGATGAGTATTGTTTCATACCACAAATGACTTTGCAGAACGTGTCAATTCATAAAAACAATCACAGAAAATCAGAAGCCCCCTCTCCACCCCCAGTTAATTTCTGGTAAACTTCTCTAACCCCTCCCTTTGTGGTTGTTCAGCATCTCTGTTTCTGTTTATCTGATCATGATTTCTGAAAAACGCAGGATGCCAGAATGTCACACTCATGAGTCATTCCTGACACTTCAGATTGAAACAGTTCAGTACGAGTTAGTTACATCACAAACAAAATGCTAAATAAGAACAGAATTAGTTAATTCACTGCTTTCTTGCTTGCTTGCTGATCTGGCCTTTTCTACTTCCCGTTATATTTGCTTTAGTCTCTTTGAAATGATTATATGGGCCAATTTACTGCATGCAGGAATGCAGCGGACCCGCATAGATAACACTCTACAGCACAGCGTTGCCCTCAGGCAATGGAAAGTGTTTTGTGAAGTTTCACATGAGTGAAATGTCAGTACATGAATAACAGTATAACACAACACCCTACATGATACAAACCTATGCCTGCGTCAAATCTAAGTTGTTTCCTTTTTGCCTAATGATTTGCCATTTTTAAAAAAGACTTATGACTTTATATTGCTGTCTGAGCGTAGTCTTATGAACAACGAATAAATATTTTGGGGTGGGAAGGTCAAAAAAAGTTTTATCATCATAATGTCCCAAAATGAACCAAGAAATGATGGAATATTTTTTTTTGTATGAGTATTTTCCATTTTGCATATGGAAACAATGCATCCAGTAGTTGTTGAGATATTTCCATCTAGGCCAAAATGATGGGGTGACAGACCAACATTGTCACTATATTAGCTAAAACAATCATGTTTTTGAAATAAAAACATGACCCATTTCCTCTCATCTTTGTCTCCTTTCAGTGAACTCCACCTCTGGGAACTCCACCTCAGTGAACTCCACATTGGCCTGCTTCTTTGGGAGTTGGTGTCCAGAACAGTGGCTAACCATTTTTCTTGCTGTCCTTGCTGTCATTGTTATTCTTATTGCCAGTGTCTTCGTGGTTCCGTACCTCTGCAAACTCTTCAAATGCATTAGAAGAAAATCTGCAGCCACGACAGCTTCATGCACTCCTGCAAATGAGCAGATTAAAGTGGAGCTTGTGACCTTAGTGTGATAATAAGAACTGTCCAATGATAATAATTATAAATAATATTATATTTTATAACACTTTCCTAACTTAGCGTAAAATAAAGACTAATTAAGATAAAATAGAAATATATATATATTATATAAGTTTGCTCAGGTTCCAGTTAAGAAGTCCAGAAAATAATTTTCCATTTTTCCCGGTGCTTTAGATTTTCTATGTGAATTTACAGCAGTTTTATAAAAGTATTTAATTTTTTTACATATTATTTTTTCATTTACTACGTAAATTGACTAAACAGTTAACTGCTTCTCTTTTGTGGAGCTGTGTTAGAGCAGGGAATGTGAAACTGAATGATGTGACAAGCTACCGTTGGCTATCCGTTCTCTCAAAAGGTCAAGATTGTCATAACAGTTTGCAAATAAGCAAACTGTCTGAATGTCAAACGGCACTGAAACAGTTTTACTTCCCTTCAGCCTCAATTCCAGCTAAATTACAGATTTAGCTCTGAAATATTGTTATAAATGCTGGTGTGACTGTGCACACAGACGTTATGGGACAGTTTTGTAAACTAAAAAAGTTGGTTATGTTAGTCTGTTAACTTGTTTCAGGTTTTTTGTGAAACAATCTTGCCATATCCGCTCAAAGATTTATTTTTATCTTTGAGGTTTGTGGGAGAAGTCACGAGTGAAGTTCATTGAGAAAAACTCAAAAGACTTTCGCAAGCGCTCACGGACTTCCCCTCCCCCTCATTTTCAATCCCGTGCTCCTCTCTGACGCTGTGCTTGTCATTTAAAGTACACTGCCAGTCTTTGCTTCTCACGTTAGAGCATGGACGCGGAGAGATGTAGTCTGGTTACAAAGGAGCTGGTCTCGTTTTTCAGATTTAGTGCCCCGACACACCAAGCTGTCCTCAAAGAATTGGACGACTCCTGAAAAGACCTGCTATGGCTGCGTCTACTCAGCCTTAGCAGGTCATTTCAGTGAAGACATCTGTCCACAGTGAAACACCTGGACAATAAAAACACGGCTAAATCTTCAAATTCACAATAATTTTCTTCCCATTTTTCTGTTTCTGCTGTCAGACAACTACATGAGTACAAATAGTGATTTATTTTCACATAGTGCCGTGGCGACCAACGGCTGAAACAGAAAGAAAAAGATGCAAAGTAACAGCAGATAATTTAAGTTAAATTACTGCAAATCAGAAACGAGAGAAGTCGTTTGAGGAGACGGTGTGTACGACCCTTGAACCGGTTGAGGCAGATGGAGGAGGAAATGCAGTTCTTGGTGGTCTGCGTCGCCGTGACGTGTAGTTACAGTTGCGTAGGGTACGGAGTACCTACAGCGTAGATTTGACGCAGAAGTATAAATCGGCACTCTGACTTGGGGGGATTATTGGCCTTTTTACACCTTTTTTTAACTTCCCCATGTCCTCCTACCTTTAACGACAGTATAGGTTGATTGTCAAGTGTCCAAAAACACATAAACCCCGGTAAGGCCCACATGTCCACCACAACCACCTCCTTATTCAGACTTTACTGAGGCTTTTAGCATTTAAATTTCACGCTATAAAGGGATCTCAACTATGCGTCCATGTGTGACGACTTGGGAATATAAACGGGCTAGTTGGTTAGGTTTAGAAAAAGATGGTGGTTTGGGTAAATTTTGACTTTCTTCCACACGGGAACATCGGTCTCCGGTGTGAAAGTCCTGAGTTAACTTGACTTGTCGTGTCGCGTACTGGAATTCGCTGCCTTACGGAAAACGTGAATATGGGTCATAATAAGCTGCTGCATAATCGACCTATACGGCCATTTTCAGTAAAATCTCACAATAATATTAAGGTCGGGATCATGTATCTGTTATTTTCTTGCAAATGTTAAAAGCTAAACTGGGAATCAGATTAGATGAAATACTATCGAACCCCGACCCCACCCCCAGCCGTGGTGGTTAGCTGTAAACGGGGGACCGCGGCCCGACAGTCCCCAGTAGCCAGTGGTTGGCTTGGTGTGTCAGGGCTTTCAGCTCCAATGACTGCAACAATTAAACAGGCTTTGAATCCTAAATCCCGAGTGTCGCCAGCCTTCGATTATAGTGGAGGATAAAAAAGGTCAGAGGTCATGGAACCTACAAAAATGTAGGATAAATATTCCAGTGACCAAAACAATGATCCATGGTCGACAGAAATGGGAAAAATAAAAATTAAGTGAAGATCTTTTTCATTCAGGTCATCTGACTGGAAGATGCGTTTTCAGACAGTGACTGCTGATAATGATATTGATCTTCCACTGTGGAAGTCGGGAGATTTATTTATAATAATAAATAAGGTCATATTACCTGATAACTCTCTGTACAATGCAGAAAGTTTAATGTGTGATATTAAGACTCATATGAATGCGCATGTTTTCCTGCATAGCTCAGTTTATATCAGTTATTTCTCTCCAAGGCGAGTTCTTCTACTCGTTTGTTATCATGTCGGACTGCTTGGCAGTCACCATGCTCCTGTGCCGGCTGTACAGCCAGAAGCTTTCTGCTTCTGTTTGGTTGGTGCTACCAATTTAAATATCATTGTACAGACTTAGCAGCTATAGGACCGGGCTTTCTAAAGACTAGTTGGTGCAACCCGCTCCTGGATTTGGGTGAACATACCCAGTGTAGGATCAATAAAATCTTAAATTGATTTCTAGTTTTACATGATTTCAGTAGAGGGTCCAAAGCCATCCTTTTTTAAATTTTATTTCCTCTTTGAGGTCATTATATATTCTTGATTTATTGTGGTTTTGTTGGGGGGGACTTCCCTTTTATATCTGATCGTCATTTTATCTGAGTTTCTTTTGGTGTTGGTATCTTTGACAGGAAACAAGTGTAAAAGTCAGTCATGTGCTTTAAATATGTTGAAAAAGTTGTGAATCATGTGGAACCAGAGTTTAACTAAAGCTGCATTAATCCAGCACCATTAAGCCTTTTGACAACACAACACTGTTTTATCCGACCAACAGTCCAAAACTCAAAGATTTACACTTTCACATATAATAGAGAAAAGCATCAAATCTGGACATTTGAGAAGCTGAAACCAGCACATACACATCTGGCATATTTTGCTTTATAAAAAAAAAAAAAAAGGACAATTAATCAATTGAGTAGTTGCCATAACACTGGGACTGAGCAAAACCGTAAATGTGCAGCAAAACCAAAAGTAGGAGCTAAAAGAAGCTAAAAGCTCTGGTTTCATCACCACAAGTGGCTCCTTTTGATCCCTTCTCAGGATATTGATTAATGCAGCTTTAAAAACTGGGAACCGCTGGTCGGGTTGTTTTAAAGTTTGCAGTCTGTGCTCATGTTGTCCAGAGGAAACGTTTCCTCTGTTTAAATGTAAATGTTTAATTCTTATTTTAACTGACTAGAGCTTAGTTTAATGAAGATTAATATATCGCTTTTTTCAGAGTATGATATAAACATTTATTTTTGTTGGCTCTGTACACATCAGAATGAATGACTGGGGCATGATATTGCTTGCAGTTTATCTAAATGGCTTTATTTCTGCCGCAGTGCTAAATAAAATGTTTTAAAATGGCTGTGATAGTGTTTGAGATTAATAAATGTTGCTGTAGTGCATCGGTTAGTATACACTACTATGTACTTAAAGCACCTTTCTAGTCTTCCACCCGCTCAAGCACATTCACACTGAGTTAACGAGCCACCAGGACACACGGGAGCCGGGGGTGAACGTGATGTAGTGCCACTATATCAGGTGGAAGAAAGTAGGCAGTGCAAACGGAGAAATGTGGTCTGATACACCAACGTGGGAACAACCTTTTCATTTTCTACAACATATTAATTTCATAATGGTTTGTGGTGGTTTTGTACTTCCCACAGTAAGTTGTGAATCATGTGGAACCAGAGTTTGTTAACTGAAGCTGCATTAATTCAGCACCATTAAGCCTTTTGACAACACAACACTGACATCAAGGCTGTTTTATCTGACCCAACAGTCCAAAATGCAAAGATTTACAGTTTCCTATCACATCTAAGAGAGAAAAGCATCAAATCCGGACATTTGAGAAGCTGAAACCAACACAAACACATTTGACATATTTTGCTTTACAAGAAGGACAATTAACTAATCAATCAGTCTCTTTCTGAGTGAAGTTTTACACGCGACATGTTCCAGTCATTTCTGCAGTTGAAGTTTATCGTTTACTGCTGTGGAAAATAGTTGTACTAATAGAACAGCGGATGATTCCTCAATTCTAGCGCGTTTTCTGATATGTGGGCAGGTGAGAACCGTGCCACTTGTGACTTTCTCTAACAGTGTTGAAATAATATCATGCACCAGTTAACAAATGGCTCATACAGACCAAGTTACTTTCCACCTCTGGCTCATTACTCATGTGGCATTTGTGTGTAGAGTTGTCTTGCACAGTTGTGCACCAGGGACGTAGGTGAGAGTGGGGTTGTGGGTTGTCACGCTGCTTATGAGAAAAATCAAATAGCCACTTTATGTGACTTTCTATGTTCAACTTCCTGTTCACATGTGGTCACGATCACTCTAATCTGGAGGTGAGCACAATTTTATTACTTTTTTTGCTTCAAAAGTAAAACATTTGCATTTTTATGTATTCCAACCTTATTAGGTGTGAATGTTCAAAATGATAACTTTGCACAAAGTAGAGGAGACAATAACGTGTCTTTTGATACTTCAGCTGAAGTGCTATGTCTTGAGAGTTAGCCAACATTAGCACACATGTCAGTTTGGGGCAAGTTGTCACACGTGATTACTTGCCTCAGTGCAAATAAACATATAGAAAATGCTCAAAAACACTGTCAAATTGTGTAATTACCTCTGACACTAGTATCAAATGATTCTGTAAATAGAATATTATACGCTGTAGTTTAGAGCAGTTGTAGTGTGTTAGTAGATACACACACACACACACACACCCACCCAACATCATACAGTTATTAATTTAGTTAGGCAACAAGGGTAGCAGACAAATAAGCTTGTAATTAATTTGTAATTAGAAGAAAATTATCAACAGAAGACAGAATGACAGTACACCACCTGACATAATGTTAAAGGCAGTCAGGCAGGTGAAGCTGAAGATCAATCAGAAGTACAGCTGAGGATTTTGACATGAGCTGCTGACATCTCTTTTGGCCTCATCTATGTGGAGCCATTTTCATACAGTATTCTAAAGGAGACGTGGTTTAAGTGTGTGAAATGCAACAAATGGTCCTGCGATGCTCACACCTCATTACAGGCAATTTATGTGTGCCAGAACTGTGACTGTAAACATGTCTGATTAGTCAGACACACCTCATACAAAAATGCAAAATGAGTGTTTAAACACCACATCTGTTTAGTAAGGACGTTATACATTTAAGCAAGTTACCATAGATCTATTTGCACCAGAGGACGTTTGATTTTAAAGTTCAAAGTAAAGAGGTTAATGCGTGCTCTGCCAACAGTTTTGTTTTTAATTAAATGATTTATTTTCCAAATTCTCTATGCTTGATTGTTTGTTTTATTTTTAGTTCTGGTTACAACTTGAAATCAGTAATCACAATTAAGTGTTCTGTTTCATAATCAAGTGTGACAACTTACCTGCCGATGGGGCAAATTGTCACAAGTGCGCGCTCTCTATTCAACAGTCTACAGCTCCATAATCAGATCATTTATGAAGATGTAACGAATGCCTGACAAAGATTTCATTCTTTCATTCGTTATGACATTGTGATGTACGGTGCTCGGTAAATATTTGCGTGAAAAGTGTGACAACAGACCCGCCCTCCCCTACCTGGCACAGATGGCACAGTTAGCACAAAGGAAAAGTGGTTAAAGCGTTGGAGGCGAATGCTCTCCTTCCTCCTTCCTCCTTCCTCCACTCGCTCTTAAAGCATCACCGGACGCGCCGCTCTCCGAGGTGAGTTCTGCAGCCTTCATCTCTCCTTCCACATTGTTTCCTGTTAAATCTCCACGTTTTAATGATATAAAAGAGAGTGTCTGCTTTATTACTCAATCAGTGGACAGACAGACTGGTTCTCTGCAAAGTAATTAACTCCCGAGGAGAAGGGGCATAGGCTAGAAGTTGGACTCGATCACTCTTCTTAATTCTTCTTGCTAGAATAACTCTTGGATGATTTAACGTTGCTGCCCATCAAGCGCTCATTTTAACGATGGTTCGGAAGTTGCACAGGTGCAGCCTACGCGCGCACACGCGGTGTCATGAGATTACATCTTAAAAATCATTAAATAATAGGCGCCTTTGAGCCTTTATTTACCGTTAGGAAGCGGGCTTCGGGCTCTCCTCACGGAACAGGGGGAAGTGCTGTGATCAGCGGGGAAGGTTTTCTGCTAATTCATCGCCAGGAAGTCCTGTAGACATGTAGCCAGACTGTGTGGTTTTTAAACAGAGAAACGCTCAAGCATCTATATCAAAAGTTGGTTTCATATCAGGCTTTGCTTGCAAGAAGGAGGGCTTTGGGTGGCGAAGGAACAATGAAGTCAAAGTGTCTTGGAAAAAAACCCCTGATGCATGATTTGGTACTTAGGCAGTGGAAAAAAAACAAGTTAGAGCTGCCTACTATGCAGGGGGCAAACTACCGGGCAGCTCATCTCAGTTCTTTGTGTGCGTCTCTCTCCCCAACACACGCTGCTGCAGCAGAAAGTAACGCACCGTCGTGTGATGGATTTCAGAGTCTGTGTCACCTAGACTTTTGTATTTGGCCCACTCAGCGGCGAGCTGACCCCGAAATCACAACAGCCTGTAAAACAGCAGCTGCACCACATCCACTGAAAAAGCACTTTAGGAATTTACTCACCTATTTGAAAAGGCATCCGACGAGCCTGCATTGAGCGAAATATTTGTCCTCAGTAATCCAAAACAACCTTATTTGGGAGCTTTGCGACCCTCTCCTCCTGTTCCTTTTCTCTCATTGAAACAAGTGTGGTGTCCGAACGATAATGCTGCGATGATGTGTTGAGAAGAAATCCGCTTGACACTGTTCTTGATTATAAAAGTTTATTACATCAAAGAATTCAGCATCAATTACAAGCTCTGCAGCAGCTTGGAGAGTGACCCAGCCCGATGGCCACTCTGTCTCTCTGTACATCGAACACAGCTTATATAGGACATGTTTAGGTCTCTGCTAAAAACCATATAAGGGCACAGTGCTGTAAAATAAGTGTAACCATCTATTAGACACCACAGAAGGGTACAGTCCCTTCATACACACTAATCTCTTTATACACACTAATCTCTTTATACCTAATTTCTACTTCCCCTAACACTGCACCCATCAATCATTACTTCCCCATAAGGGTTCACTGTCCCTCTCACCAGCTGCAGAGCATTATGTTAAACTGTAATGGCCGGATACACGTAATGGCCAGATGCACATATGTTATACACCACACAAGCAGCTGTTGTGTGAAGCCTAATTGTTGCAGCGATTGATGATGGTGATGATGAAAACCTCAGACAGCTGAGGTTGGCAGGTCCGCCTACAGGTGGGAGATCAACCATCTGGTGACCTGGTGCAGGTGGAGCTCAACGCTCTGAAGACAGCGGAGATGGTCGTGGACTTCAGGAAGAGCCCAGCCCCACCCTCCCACTGGGGGTCACTGATTATTTTTACATTTATTTATGTTGACTGTATGTTTGTCTGCGTGTAGCACTTTATCACCACAGCAAATTCCTCGTATGTGTAAAACACCACTTGGCAATAAAGCTGCTTCTGATTCTGATACAATCCCACAAAGACAATAATTCAAATTCATCCTCAGCACTGCTAGCCTATTTCTTTCGGTTTGCTAATTTCTGGAGCCTACATATTGTCTGCTTTGTAGCAGAGAGGAACGACAAATTGCATTTCATTTTCCAGCCCTGTTGTAATTGTTATGTGTGTGCAGCACTGCTTTGCTCCAAGTTGATTGTGGGTTAATTTCTACTCTGTGCACAGACATTCAGCTTCAACAAAACAAGCCGAAAAGCTGCCAGGCTGTGTAACAAAAACAAAACACATACCTTTAAAGACTATTTGAAGTGTACAAATATGCTAATTTAGGTTTATCAGGTTTCTGCTCCAATTTATTTGCTACAGCCAGATTTCAGCTGAGGGGAAGTCAATCGGAAGAATTCATTTTTATCAGAGATCATTCATTTTCACTGTGTCTCCTTCTGCCCAGCAGGCCTTTATTGGCTGAAAAGCTTCTGAGCTCATCTTCCCTCACTGATCTGCCTGAAGGTCAGGAGTTTTGTTAATGTTCCCCCTCTCTCTCTCTCTAGATGCCTTTCAGATGCCTTCGTTCCTCTGACCCGAACATCAGAAACGTAGTGCGGTTGTACGATGCCAGTGATGATACAGGTGACCTTTATTTTAGAAGCGATGGGGCCACACCTCCACTCTGCTCCTCCACCTCCCCTCCGCCACCCTCCACCTGTGTGGTGTGTTTCGACCAGTTCGTCCACGCTGTTTGCGCCGACCTGCTGGAGGATGTGAAGCTGGTGATGGAGGGAAACGTTAGTCCGATAGACCTTATACAGAGCGGTAAGAGCTGAAGGATCAGGTTCAT